TCTTTTTAAAAGCCTCATAAAAACAATTCTGCTCTCACATTCTGCTCACACATAGCTGGCTCACATCCTGGATTGCAGCTTATTTATTAATCTTTGGCAAAGAGTAAAAACAAGTGATCACGCCATTGATTGAAACTATCAACTTTTTCTAAATAAATCTCAACTGACTGCAATTTTTTGCTAGTTTTGTTGAATTTTTCTCGTATATCACTCTATAATGTGGCCATTACAGTTGTTTCAAGACTGTCTAATATTAAAAATAGTCCATTTGTTTTTGATCTTGTGATTTCCTTATCTAATTTATCACCTTTGATAAAAGATGGTGCATTAATTATTTCATTCCACATTTTGTTCAAACTAATAGTTGCATCAGATCTTGCTGACCACCTTGTATCTAATAATTTTTTAAGTGATAAATTTTTTGTTTTAATTAAATTTTTCTGAAGTATTTCCAATCTTTATTTAAAATCAATGAAAAATTTTGAAGCAGAAAAATAAGTGTGTCGAGCATTATACAAATGTAACTAAAGAACTAACTTATTTGGTGCAAGCTTGAAGCCCTGTATATCTACCAGACATGTTAGACGCATTGTTGTAACTTTGACCCCAACAACTGTTTATATATATATATATATATATATATATATATATATATATATATATATATATATATATATATATTATTATTATTATTATTATTATTTTTCATTTAGGTGCCCCAAGAAGACCTAACAGTCTTGTCACAGAGCACCGCGGAAGTGTATTTAACCAGGAAGTTTACGCCTCCTTCCAACTGTGACGCGAAAATATGTCTAGAGCTCGTTTCAAACCTGGGTCTCCTGCTTAAAAAGCAATTGCTGTAACCACTGTGACACGGCCGCACAAATCTAATATATCTAATTCATGCAATTCTAAAACTAAAAGTATCTGCTAATTCTTCAGATTTATAGATTCCTTCATTCTGACGGCTAGCGCCCTATCAAAACCTGGCACCTGGGGCAAATGCTATCCTGGCCCCCTCCTAAATACGTCTCTGATATATATATATATATATATATATATATATATATATATATATATATATATATATATATATATATATATATATATATATATATATATATATATATATATATATATATATATATATATACTATATTCTAGGAATATAACTTAAGAATAAAATAAAATAAGAAATAAATTAACAATGAGCAAAGCAACTATAAGTCTGAAAGACTAATTTAATAAAGATGGAAATGTTCAAAGCAATTTGTAAATTTTGTAAAACAAAAATATCAAGAAACATGTTATTTAAAAACATGTTCGAACTTGATAATAAAAAATATCACCAATCTTATTAAACTCGCTTTTAACCAGATTTTCAAAAAATAGTTATAATTAATCCACAACATAAAATCTAGCTACTAAATTTTCAATTGTTAACCGATGGCCTTGTGAACACTCTAATGAACTGAAAACTAATTCTTCTCTAAAGCAATTTAAAATAAAAGTTAATCATTTATTAATGGCAAATGAAAATGAAATAAAATTTTTCTAAAAATCTTTTTTAAGTTAGTAAATAAAAATAATTAGTAATTAATTTATTAATTGCAATTATTTAATAATATATTTATTTTTTTATTTAAAAAAATAGTTTGATTGTAAAATTCTGAAAATCTAATAAAACTAATAATCAATATATTTTTTTAGTTTATATTTTTTTGTTCATTTGTAAAAATCTTTTCGATTATAAAGAAATCTTGAGTTTTGTTTATTAAAACACAGTTTTTTAAATACTGTAAAATTTTCTAATTATTATTAGTATTGTTAAAAATTTATGAAACTTATGGGAAAATAACACATTTAAAATTTTTTTGTTCTATAATGTGTTAACAAACTAATATTTCACTACCCGAAGGTAATCCACTGTCGTAGGGTGATAGCCCTCCTATCAAAAAACCTGTCTAAAAATTGCCTAAAATCATTGCTTTATCAAAATGATTACAGAATTTCTACAAGTAAAAAACCGTTCAAAACTTTATAGCAGAGCGAGTCAATTAAGTGAGCAGCTAAATGAGTGGCGTGGGATGAGTGGCGTGGGAATATATTAAAGATTCTCATGACCTTCGCTGATAGAATAAATCTACTTGCGCGCAACAAAAACTTGCGCGCAACAAAAATTGAAGAGCAAAAAAAAAATTGCAAAACTCAAAGTAGATTTGGAATCAGCAAAATAAGTAGTAAGTCATTCAAACATCAGCAGTAATTTGGTTCAAGTAATAAAACAAGGTGTTAAAAATGCTAAAAAACCAGCTGATCAACTAACTGGAGCAAATGTAACTATTAGTGAGTTAAATGAAAGAGAAAGAAGGAAAAAAAAACGTTATTATTTATGGATTACCTGAATCCGAAATGGAATTTTTTAGCAGAAAAAAGCAGATAATGGCGAAAAAAAGAGATTTTTAATATACTCGGCAAAAGCAATGTTTCACCAGTTTATGCAAGAAGGTTAAAATCTAGAGACACAAATAAACCCGATCCAATAATAGTTGAACTAATTGATGTTTTGTTAAAAAATCCACTTCTTTTAGAAGCAAAAAGTTTGAGAAAGAAGTTTACAAATCAATTTACATAAGGTTCTTTGAAACACAAAGAAGACTTGATTACAATTTAAGAAAGAAACGAAGCGAAGCAAACCGTATACTTGCTGAAGACTCGCCCTTTTGATATAGCATTCATGGAATTAAGATCAATAAAATTAAAGCTCAACAGTACTCACTCAACAAAATAGTTTCAGTCACCATCTCTAAACGGACTAAATGCTTTGAAATGTGTGTATTTAAATGCGGCCTCTTTAAAAAATAAATTTGATGAATTATAGGTATCAGTAGATACGTACTGTCCACAAATCATAGCTGATATTGAAACATGGTTCAAAAGCATCTCTGTTGTAAATCTAAATGGCTTTAATCTGTATAGAAGAGACAGAAATGATGGGCGGCATAGGAGGTGGTGTGTGTTTATTACTGAAACTATTACACCATTATAACTAAGCGTTGCTGTTTTTAACTTAAGTAAAATTGAACAAATTTGTGCTACAGCTTGTTCTGAAAGCAACAAGTCTTTTGTTGGTTGAATCTACAGACCAAAGAATTTTGTTGACATTAACTACTAATTACAGGGGAATTTAATTTCCATCATATGGTCAAATGGTCAAATGGATACACTACAAACATAAAAAATGAAAATGACATCGAGCATAACTTTAATTAAACTCTTAGTAAAACATATCTGTATCATTGTCTGAATTTTTTAACTTTTAAAATATCAAATAACTTTGTTGTGAAAATAAGATCAAGAGTGTTTACTCTTGATTTTATCTTCACAGCAGCCGGGAAGCATCTGCGCTATTAATCCAAGATCTGTCCTCGGTAACATAAATAAAGGTTTTTTGGTCATCTTTTTTGATTTTGTTATTAAAAATAGGTTTAATAGCTTATCATACAGCTACTTAAAGTTTAATTACAAAAAAGCTGACACCAATAAAATTCCAATAAAATTATTTAAAAAAATACTATTTTGGGTCTTAAATAAAGCAAATTATAAAGAAAATTTAGATAATAATCATTATTTCATAAAAGATTTGACTACATTAAATTTTTTTTTTAATAAAAATTAATTTTTATAAGATTTTTTGACTAAATTTTTTTTTTTTAATTTCTTTCTCTAAGGTTTTAAATAATATAAGGAACCTGTCAAATGTTAAAGAGTCTTGAGCAACCCCTAAAAATAACTCAGTGTCTCAGCGCCCAGAATTCTATTAATATTTGATAATAAAATACGATATTATTTAATCTCAGAGTATTTTGTGCAGGATAATCATAGTTTGACGAGCTGAGTGAGCTTTGGCTCCATTTTTTATGTGTTTATGTGGTCTTTCAAAAACCACATAAACACGATTGAAAATATAGTTTCTTAAAATATCGGAGAACTCTATAAAGCAAAAACATACTTAGATCAATCATGTTTGAAACACATATATTACTCATTTATTCATTCATATCTTAGTAATTATTAAATCGAATAATTTTTTACATCACATAATGTTTGCAGAAAATTATAACGTAAGTTTTTTTTTTTAATTTTCATTAAATAGCAATCTATAAATTCCACAAATAAAATCTACAACTTTATGTAAAGCTAGTGTTCTAACCACTTAACAACTCGTTAAATGGAAGAGATCCTAGGTTCTGAGCGAGTTCTAGACATATTTTTATCTAAAGTCTTATATTTTTAGTCTTATCTTGTTTTTTCAAAACCTAAGTTGTAATACTTTTTTATTTTATTAGATTTCTTTGCACTTTAAATATTTTTTCAATTATTTTAGAATATTATTTCAATTATTTTAGAATTATTTTGAATAAATTTGTAATAAAAGTATATATTGTTAAAACTTGTAAAAACTATGTAGTTGCAAAAATGTATTGTACGAACCAATACCGTTTTTGAAACCTACGTTTCCATTTTTTACGTTAAATGAAACTATTACACAGATTTGTTTTGTTTTTATTATTTTTACTTTTTATCTTTATTATTTTTACTTTTTATTTTACAGTTTTAAATATTTTTACTTGATGACGAGTGTATCTATAATCCCTTAAAACATCTAAAAATGTCGACCTTTAAAGAAAATAAAGTTATTTCCAAAAAAAGTTTTATCTAACTTTTTTTTTTTTTTCTTTTCTGTAGCTTCTATTCAGTTTTTTTGATTTATTTATTTAGTTTACTTCATTGCTCCTAACTTTTTAGTTTGCTTAAAACAATTTGTTAAGAAAACATTAAAATGCAGTTTATACGGTTAACAAAATGACAGTAACTTTTGTAAAAATTTCTCAAATAGAAGAAGAAAAGAAAAAGATAAACAATAAAAAGTATTAAAATGATTTGATATTTGCGTAAACTTAATTTTAAATTTTGATTTTTGATATAGCTAGTAAAAATAAAAAAATTTTTTGTTGACTATTCAGAGCACTTGAAGCCGCTATTCGAGTAAAAACATTAAGACACAATTTTTTAATTAGAAAGGTAATTTCTTTTATTTACTTCTATTTATCAAATACATGTTGTTTTAATTATTAAAACGTTCTGCAAAAACCAAGGCATTACTATGAATGTCATTTTATGTATTTCTATTTGTAATATTGACTTTAACTTTTTGCTTTGGGAATTAGATTTTTTATGGGATCGTTCATAATTACGCAAGGCTAAATTTCACTAATAAACAAAACAAAAAAGATCGAAAGTTTTCCCTTGCAGAGCCTTAAGTTAAATAAACAGTCAAATAGCCCATTAAGTTAAAATAAGTGAAAATTACCGCGTAGATTTCCAACTTATAAAACTTAAGCGTTAGATCTTCTACTTTAGTTTTTTTAGATAAAATTAACGTAATTTATGGACGATCTCAAAGCCGTGTACTTTATTAAAAAAGATAAGTTTTTATTAAAACCCATCCATAAAGGATGTCACCATTTTTTAGCCAATTTTTGACCCCCACCCTTAGTCACCGGTTGTCCTATTTCCCTATACCCTCTGGAAAAGGACGTCATAAAATCCTGACCTCCTCTTCCCTTTTTTTAACTCCAAAAAAAAATTATTTTATCTTGCAATGATGTTTGAATTTGCTGCTACACCTTTGAAAAATAAAATTAAAAATATTCTCATACATTATCCTCTCAAAAACACATGTTTACGTAGTTTTCCATGTTAATTAAACTAAAATAAAAAATCTATAAAGTGACGTCCTTTTCTGACAACCTCCCCCTCCCCTGGTACTTTTTTGTCCTTTTTAACTAGACCCCCTCCCCCCTATTTGGATGACGTCCTTTATGGATGGCCCCAAAACGCTTTTTACTTATCCGTGTCAATTTTTTATTGAACAGAATAACTTGGTATAGAAAAATTTTAGAAAAAAGGCATGTTTCAAAATTAGAGGGTAACCCCGGACATATAATTTAAAAAATATTTTACCTCTTTTTACCCACGTGTAATATAATTTACAAATAATTAGGATTACAATTTTCTCAACACTTTAAAAAAAAATTCGCCTTAAAAATTTGGGTATATTAGAAATGGGAATGAAATGTCATTGTTTAGAAATATAAAAATAGCTTTTTTCTAATGAAAATAAACACTTTAAAATACATTTTTCAAATCTAAGGTTTTTTTTTGTTGGAATTAAATGAACTACTATTATGGGTTTGTGTATTATATTAAATGAATTATTAATTTTATAAAAAAGTTGCTCATTTTTAATATGTAAATAGATTAGACTGTTCGAAACCACTCTCCAAACATGTGTTTGATACCATTCGTGTTTGATACCATTTTAATACCTCATTCACAAATACTAGTTTTAAAACCAGTGAATTAAAGATTGAACGATTTTTTTTTTAATAAATATTGTAAATAAAAATGTTTCTTTAATGAAGAAAAAGTTATTGGCTTATATAAAATTAGATATATTAATATCTGAATCAAATATAATATGTCGCTCTTCTGGTGGTGGGAAACAATATATTTTTTTTCAGTTTACATTTGTTGTCGTAGTAAATAAATAACTTTCACAGACACAATCAAGGTTTCTGAAAGAAGATTGTAGTGATCTTATCATCAGAACTTTTTACAAGCGTGTCTATATAAACTACATCAAAATATAATCAACAAAATAAAACATTAAACAAAATAAAATATTTAAAATCATATAGCTTCTTTAGTTAAAGCTGTACATCAAGTGTCCGGAGTTACACGCTGTTCGGGTAATTGCCCCCTCTTTTTATCCGATCCTGAAAAATATAAATTTAATCTTTGTTATCTCAAAATCTTATATTTAACAACTGTCTGAACTTTTTAAAACATTTAGTTCAATTTAAACATATCAAATAAACCACTATACTAAGTGACAAATTTATTGGGATTTTAAGCCCCAGTTTTTAACTTCTCTTTTCTTCATAATTTTCATTAGATTTTCTCGTGTTCTTCCATGCTTGACGTAAAAGGTCATTAACGGATTTTTTTTTCAGAGTTTTAATTTTTTTTTATACTTTAGGTGCCAAGTAGACCACACGGTCACATCGCACAATATAAAAGTGTTTAACTAGGAAGTTCATGTCTCCTTTTTACAAATGACGCAAAACAAAAAATATGCCTAGAACTCGCTTTGAACCTAGAATCTCTTGCTTTTAGCGAGTTGTTAAGTGGTTAGAGCACTAGCTTTAACCATTGCGGTAAGATTGCTGAATAATGATAAATGTAAAGTTGTAGATTGTATAATTTATGCTATTTAATGAAAAAAAAAAAGAGTGCCGAACAACAAACTTACGTTTTAATTTTCTTCAAACATTTTATTGTGATGTAATAAAGATTATAAAGATTGGTTCGTAAATTACATTTTTGTAACTTACGAACTAGTCATGGTCAATAAATTATGATTTTAAACCTTATACTTATAATAAGGTTTTAATTAATTTTTCAAAAGAGGGTTTTAAAAAGCTATTAAAATGACAGCTAAATAAACTTTATTAAAACACAGATTTTAATCTCTGTCAAATAGCAGGTGGCCTAAAGTTTGAACTTTAGAATTATCGAACAAAATTTTAGTTATGAGTGATTGAATATTTAAATTTTGTTTTGATGTGAAATTCTTATTCAAACTTTATTTTTTTTACTAATAATAAATTTTTGATACTTTGCTTATGTCTCAAGGCATTTCAAATCAATTTTTTAATACTGTCACAGTCTACTGCAGTCGAAGCAGTGCGTCTGCAAACACTACTTCCTCCAATTCCTCTAAAAGTTGAGCTAAAAGATATGTTCACTAAAAAGCAGGTAAAAAAGAGCAACATATATATATATATATATATATATATATATATATATATATATATATATATATATATATATATATATATATTTATTATAAATAAAAAATCAATTTTTCTACGATTATTAGTTTCATGGTTACTGAATATTTCTGTATAAAAAAAAGAAGAAGAAATAAAAGAAAACCCCGTAAAAGAACTCTAGAGGCTTGTGGTTATCTAGTAGGAATGTTCTCATGATGACAATTGGAAATCAACTCGCTTTTTCTATTTAAAAATTCCTTTGTATTTTTGAACTACAAACTTATTACAAGCAAAGTAGACATTATGTAATAAAATTGTATGCGGGAGCGCTTTTTATAATTTTTAAAATGGGTTTTGTTTTTAATTTTTCTTTTGTATTCCATAAGTATTTTTAAAAAATAGTTGCGTTTGTTATATTTCTAATTTTGAATGGCTTTTTGTGGTTTGTCCATCTAATTTTCCACATGCTCTCTGTTGAACCACTGTATGATTATGTCAAGTATGTTTGAGGAGGATTAGTTGTCATTTCAAGGTTTTTTTAAGGTTGAACGCTATGTCTAGAAGGTTAGCAGCAGATAGGTTTGTTTCAAAATCTATTTGAAAGCCAATTGTTTAAAAATTATTATTACATTTTTACAGATTTTATTTATTTGTGTATCCAATTTTTCATGCATCATAATCAGTCTATCATCACGGTAAAGACCTATATCGCTGCTAAAATTAGTTTTTGATAGTAATTCAATATATGCAAACTTACCAGCTAGCGTATTTTAGCTCCATCAAAGCAGCTCATTGTGACGTCAAAACCGTTGTAAGTTGAGTTTTTTTGATTTGATGAAGTTTTTTTGATTCGATAAAATTTTTATCGTTGAAAAACAATAATGACCATCGGCAATTGTTGTTAACAGCGATATAGGTCATTACCATGATGGCAATAACAAAGTTGGTGAGTAACTCCTATTTCTCGTCTCATTTTTTTAGCCGATTCACCATCAGTAACACACCTAACGATTTCATTAATCAAATTCAAGCCAAAATTAACTAACTTGTCAATAATGTTAACTATTCTTCATGAACATCGAACGATTTATTCTAAACATTCTATGACTATAATAAAATTTCCAGTTAGTTTTTTTGTTGCAGCTCTTAAGCAATTTTATTAAAGTGCTTGACAATTGTTTTTATAGCATGTTAAACATTACGGATTTTAATTCCTTGACCTTTCCAGCCATTTTTAACATCTTTACAACTAGCCAAAGTTTCAAAAACGATACGATCTACAGCTACACAGTAATATTTCTTTACGTTTATTTCCTACTTTATTACAGTAAAGAGCATTGTTTGACTCTATATTTTGTTTGGAAAAATTTTATGTTTATATATTATTTATATTTAGGCTAATTTTTACATTTGGATATTGGTTTTCTTTACTTTCCAATAAAAATTTTCCCAAACCTCAGAACAATTTTTCCAGATCATTGTGAATGTCAGGCTACTGTACCACCGCAATTAGGCTACTATACTGCAATCAGGCTACTGTACCGCCGCAGTCAGGCTACTGTACTGTTGCAACGGTCCAGCAGTCGTGTGACGCATTTACTGTGAGGAGCGCCACAATGTATTTGCACTATTTTTGTACATTTTTCCTTGGTACCAGAGTAATGATAGTGCAATTAATATTACTGATTTTTTCTATTTTATAAATCCTTGTTTAACTCTAACCGTTGCAGAGTATAGACTAGCTGCTACCTAGCTTAGATATCCTTTTCATTTCAAGGGTTTTTAAAATTAAATTTTGCCGTGGTGTCATTATTTACAAAAGTATGTATTAAAATGCTGTACAAGTTGATTAGTCGCTAAATTATAAAGTGATTAATTTCTTTTATTGAAAGATTTTGATGGTAAATAAATTTTTATATTGACCATCAGTTAATAAATTTTAATTTTCAAGTGTTATATATTTTTTTTATAGCGAATGAGAATAGAGACATTGTTGGAAGATGGAAGGGGGATCGAAATCGGACGAGTTATTTGCTAAAGAAAAAAGCAACTTTACCGGAAAAAAACAAAAATTTTTTGTAAATAATGCTTAATAACATATATATGTATACACACACACACACACACACACACACACACACACACACACACACACATACATACACATACACAAACACAAACCACACACGTACAAACACACACATACACACATACGCGCACATTCACAAACGCGTATATATATATATATATATATATATATATATATATATATATAATATAATAATGATTAAAAAATATTTTATAAATAAAATAGAATTTGAGATAATAATTTAACTATATTTTTCTAATATTTTTGAAAGTTGGAATTGAAGTTATAATTTTATAATTATAACTTCAATTCCAACTTTATAATTTTTTAGTCTTACAATTTTTTAAATTTGTGAAAAAGAAATTTATGGCAACATTTAATGTGGCCACACTCGGTTTTTTAAATATCAAGTAAAGATTTGAGCTTATATGTTGATATGTGCTTGCCTTAAAAAAAGGAAAAGTATATCTTAAATAATTTTAAACAGTTTTTATCCATCATATCCCAGCCAGCATTGTGATGCGAGTGCCGCACGGGGTGTCAAATGGAAACCGTACGGGATTTGGCCGCGGAATCTATATGGGCCATACGGGCCAAAAAAAAAAAAAATTATTGGCTGCTTTTTGTTTTTTCCCGTATTGACCCCAGAGTTTTAAACAATTTTTATCCATCATATCCCAGCCAGCATTGTGATGTGGATGCCGTATGGGATCTGTACGGGATGTCAAATGGAAACCGTACGAGATTTGGCCGCGGGATCTATATGGACCATACGAGCCAAATAAATAAAAAAAAAATTATCGGCTACTTTTTCTTTTTTCCCGTATTGATCATTAATTTTCCTGGGTATTTTTTTTTATTTTTTACTATGTATAACTTAAATAAACGACAGTTTGTTTAAAGCAATTTTTTAAATTTAAATCAAGTTAAATGATTAATTAGTTATGATCATTTTTTATAAAAGTTTAAAAAGCTAAATGTATATGCAAATTGAAATTTATATGCAAATTGAAAACACAAGGACATATACATGTATGTTTTATTAAATAAAATTAACTGTTAACAGTTTATTTTCTTTAATAAAACACACATGTATATGTTCTTGTGTTTTCAATTTGCATATAAAACAGCTTAGCTTTTAAAACTTTTATAAAAAATGATCATAATATAATTAATCATTTTATTTTTTTAAAATGAAAAAAGTTGCTTTGAACAGATTGTCGTTAATTTAAGGTATTAAAAATTTTTACACTGAAAAAAATAAAAAAATTTATCCAGGAAAATTCTGGGGTCAATACAAGCAAAAAGAAAAAGCAGCCGATAAAATTTTCGTTTTTTATTTGGCCTATACGGTACTCATTAGGGTTGCTAGCTCGAACATGTTCAAGTTCGAACGTTAGAGCTTTACGCCAAAATTTCAACGTTCAGGTTCGAACTTTTTTCGCTTAAAAGTTCGAACTTTCAGAAAAAATGTCTTAACGGTCATTTTAATAAATACAGCTGAAATATGAATAAAAATTAGTGTTTTGAAACTGTTACATTTTTTGAAAACAATGTTCTTTCTTTTTAATTTATTTTTAGCTATTCAAAATTTAGAAAAACAGCGTTTGTGTGGTCACTTTAAAAATACAATAATAATAGCGTAACGTGTAAAACCATTGCAATTCATAAATATGTCAGTTTTTTCACGTTAAATATTAAACAAACCGTTTGACCACTGTTTATTTACGTTTGACCGTTTGACCACTGTTTATTTACGTTTGAAAAAAATAAAAACATTAAGTAAAAATAAAACATGGCTACTTTCAAAGACGTTAGCACATCCAGAAGTTCTGAGGTTTGGGTTTATTTTAATTTTCCCAAGAACTGCAACAAGCAAAATGTACAAAAAGTCATTTTAGCTAATGGCAAATTTAGCCTAACATTTTACGAGTACACATCAGTGAAAAACAGGAGATTCATGAATTTGAATATTCATTATAACGGAGGATTTCAATCTCTTGGATTGTTAAGGGTACATGACACAATGCCAGCATCGAAAGCCATTGAATTAATTAATAAAAAACTTAATTCATTTGGTTTAAACTTAGACAAAGATATTGTTGCCTCTGCTACAGATGGAGCCAGTTTGATGAAAAAAATTGGCGATGAAATTAAAGCAGAACATCAAATGTGTTTATACGTTACTGATGTGCTTTTTTAAAAAAAAGTGCTGCAATACCAAACGATAATTTTAACAATGAACCTGTTGATACCATTGAAGTTGGTGATACCATTGAAGTTGGTAATAACAATGAAGTTAATGATATTATTGAAGTTGGCGATACTATTGAAGTTAATGATTCTATTGAAGATGTTGATGAAGATGATGATGGTGATAGTAAGGAAGAAGATGAGAATTCGATTGATTATGTTGAAACAATTCAAATATCTACTGAAAATTTTGGTAAATCATTGAGAACTAAATTTCAAGAGTCGGTGGCTAAAATTCGAAAATTACTACAAATGTTTCATAGATCACCTGTAAAAAATGATGATGATCTTGAGCCAAATATTTTTAAAGCAGTTGGAAAAGAGAAAGCTTCGATTTTTGACTCTTGGACAAGTTGGACAATGGTTATGTTAGAACGATTTTTGAAAGTCCAAAAAGAAATAAAAGTAGCACTAACTAGCGAAAACACCGATTTTCCTCTCTCTAAGAAAGAACTTGATAAAGTTAATAACCTTTGTGTTGCCCTAAAGCAGCTATTGAAGCACTTTCCAAACGTGATGCTGATTTATTGTCTTCTGAAATTATAATTCAATTTGTTCGGAAAAAATTGGATAAAGTCAACACGCCAATTAGTCAACTTGTAAAACAGCAATTTGAAAAAAGAATTGTTGATTTAATACATCTAATGAAATATTTATCAAACCCAGATGTTTTGAATCAAGATAATCAGTTTGAGAATAAAATAAAAAGAAACACAATAGCAAATTTTGCTGCTAATCTATTCAAAGATTATTCCAGTCTAGCGAGGAAGACTCTGATGCTGGTGGAGAGGTGAAAAATAATAACATTAAATTGACTTTATTTATTAAAACATCTGATTTTTAAATGACAATAGGCAAAGGTAATTCGGATCTAACCTCATTAAAAAGAGAGTGGCTCTTTTTGAAGCCAGCAAATCAAGGCCCAAAAAATTAGAAATGCTTTTTAATGCTCTTAAAACTATTCCTCCGACATCTATAGAGGCCTGAAGGGCTTTCTCTAGCCTAGGATTATTTGCAACAAAAATAAGAAGCTCATTACGAAATAATACAATAGATGCATTAACATTTTTAAAAATAAACACTTAAAATTGCTGTGATGTTGTTTATTCTCAAATAGACAATATTTTCATGTTAAATGTAGTGAAAATGAGAAGCGGGTCTTAATAATAAACAATTTTGTTTTATAAATAAACAGTTTCATAAATAGATAAATAAACAGTTTTGTTTTAACTTGTACTCTTTTAATTTGCGTATTTTAGTACATTGAAAAAAGTTCAAAAATGTTCGAACTTTTTTCCCAAAGAGTTCGAACATGTTCAATTTTGAACTTCTAAAAAAAAATTTGAATTGGCAGCCCTATTCATATAAAACATAAAAACGTAAAAACATGAAAATTATTTTGATTTGATAAGTGTTTTGGTAACGAAACAGAAATTCTTTGATTGAAATAGTTAAGGTTTGTTGATGCGTTTCTCTGTGAACATTTGATGTAATATTACAACAACGCCATTCTTTTTTTCCAGTATTAACGCTGGTAGTATCTGCAACTATCATCTGTATTGAATTCCATGGTTAAAATTCATCAAAGACTTTAGAAATTTCTTGAGCAATAGTTAAAGTCCTGCCATCTACCAAGCCAAGGACATCCAATATGATTTCTCTTCTTTCATTTTTAAGGATGTCCACTTGATAATCCATTCTGTCGATGTGCTTGCCATCAAAGTGTATGGACCAACTTTCAATATGCAACTTTTGAATTATTTCTTCCTTCAGCTTGATTATCTCTTTGATTGTTGACTTATAAAAAGTTGATTGACATGGAGTTGGTATGTCAATGCCTTCACGAGCCGATTGCTTGCATATGTTAGCAGCTTTGTTTGTTGATACTCGTGTGAACCACAAATAAAATCTTCAATAAAAACCAATATGATTTTTAATCACAACACTCAACAGAGAATGTTATCTTAAATCTCATCATCAGGATCAACGAATCCTGTTTAACGAATAATGTTCAATAAAAAAATTATGTTTAGTGTCTTTTTAGATTTTTCAAAAGCGTTTGACACTTTAGATTGTGCAATCCATTTAAAAAAATATATATATATATAAATATCGAGTTAATAGAAAATAGTGTGTTACTACAGATCAAAATTACTCCCCAAAATTATAAAAAATATTATGAGGTGTCCCATAAGGTTCTGTTCTTGCTCCTATTTTGCTCTTAATTAACAACCAAAAGTTTAAAAATGATAAGTTAATAATAAATAAGTTTAAAAAATATATATATTTTAAATGTTCCATTGGGTGTACCATAAGGTTCTAATTTTGTTTCTCTTTTGTTCTAAATCTATATTAATAAACAAAAATTTCCGGTTAAATTTGATGTTATATTGTTTGTATAAAAATGTATATGAAGAACTTCAAAAATCAAATATAATGTTTTAAACTAATAATTTGTCATTAAATATAAAAAAAAACAAATACACTTTATTTTATTAAAAGCAGCGAAAAAATGCACTATCAATAATTTCACCCACTCTAAAAATAGATACTATAATCATTGAAAGATTTCAGAAAACTAAATTTTTAGCAGTTGTATTTGATAAAAGTATCTCTTGGAAAGCTCACTACCACGTCTACTCATATAATATTTTGAGTAGATGTGGCTTAACGCAGTCTATACGCATCAACTTGGTTTTGTCCAGGGTTTCCAGTCTCTTCTGGACTTCATCACATCGCATGAATTAAAACTTTTTGAAGGACTTCATAAGTAATTTATTTAAGAGAAAGTTAACTATAAAATAGTATAGTACTTCACCTTATTTGCATTTTAGTTAATAATTAGTTTTCATTACTTTATAGAGTTATGTGACCGTATAAAGTAATGAAAACTAGTTACTAACTAGTATTGAAAAGTAAAGAAAATGTTAAAGGACTTTATCGTTGGTGCAACTTGGATACTGTACTTTATTGTTGGTACAACTTGGATATTCATATAAAATTATTGAGAAATTATTAGAAAAGAAATCAATCAAAGTTTCAATATCCACTATTAGTAAAGTTAAAAATAACGTGGATTCAAAAGAAAAGATGATTTAAATGGCAAAGGCTGAGCGACGACATCGACCATTAAAGCTACATTTATGGCAAATTTTTCAGATGAAAAACGTTTTAAAAAAAGACAATCCACCAACTATTTCTGAATTATCTAGAAAGTTTAAGATATTATAAAAGTCAATTGAACGTTATATTGATAAAATGTGTGCATGAATTATGACCTTGTGGAA